TAACAACTTTTCAAATACAGAGTGAGTGAGAGAGAGAGAGATGGTTTAAGGTACGTGGTTACATAGTTTTTAACCCATTTTGTATGTTTACCTGTGTTACAATAACAACTTTTCAAATACAGAGTGAGTGAGAGAGAGAGAGATGGTTTAAGGTACGTGGTTACATAGTTTTTAACCCATTTTGTATGTTTACCTGTGTTACAATAACAACTTTCCAAATACAGAGTGAGTGAGTGAGAGAGAGAGAGATGGTTTAAGGTACGTGGTTACATAGTTTTTAACCCATTTTGTATGTTTACCTGTGTTACAATAACAACTTTCCAAATACAGAGTGAGTGAGTGAGAGAGAGAGAGATGGTTTAAGGTACGTGGTTACATAGTTTTTAACCCATTTTGTATGTTTACCTGTGTTACAATAACAACTTTCCAAATACAGAGTGAGTGAGAGAGAGAGAGAGAGAGAGAGAGATGTCTGCATATTGTAAGGCATTAAATCGATTATAAACTACTTTACGTCGATGTTGGTTTAAATTAACTGGTACAAGCAAGCCCTAAGCAAAGCCCCTGTTCATTTTTCCAGCGAAATAAAGTCAAATACATGATCTGCACTGATGTTGCGGCACGTGGCATAGACGTGCAAGGAATTCCTTTTGGTAAGATCAGCAATGTCGAGAAGAAATTTAATTAACTGTCAGTGTGCATAGCCTGAATTACAGTGTATGCTTATTTATAGAATTGCACTAATTTTAGATTTCTAAACTCTATTATAGTCAACTCTCCCAATACCACGCACCATCGGGATCGTCTGTTTAGGTCGGATTTCTGTGAAGTTCTGTTTATAGGGGGTCTGTTCCAGGCACATCGTATATGTCTCAGATGGTGTTGGGACATCAAAAAATCTTCTGGTTTAACACGAGATTCAGATGGCGTTCGGAATTTGGAGAGTTAATTGCGTATTTTTATGTTAATTGCGTAGCTGCTGAAATACCACGCAATGAACGCTATATAAGTTTAGTGCCTTTGTTGTGTTTTGTGTACATTTAATATTCATGTGTTACCATGAAATTATTTTACGCGACTAATCAGCTAAATAATAAAAAGCTGCAATTGTGGAAGAAGGATATAAGATCTTAATCGTGATTGTGGCCACGTACGAGCTAACAGTTTTGAATGTAGTAATGCTGTTTCACAATGCAGCAAACATGCACTAATATATATACATTATATTTCATTTTAGTTGTGAATGTCACATTGCCGCCCTCAGATGAAAAAGCCAACTACCTTCATCGTATTGGACGAGTTGGCAGGGCTGAGAGGTATTTTGTACACAATAGTATTATCATATTAAATGCCCTGATAACCATCACTACTGATGACATATATATAGTTGACAAAATATTTACTCATAATTTCTGCACACAAAACGATATCACCATATTATACCAACAAGTGCCGCGGAGCGACAGCGCTCATCTAACGTCTACTGCGGTGACTCTGTTGTGGAGTGGTGGGATTCTAGTAAACCCTGTTAGTCCCAAATGTGTTCACATACACGCCGAAACAGTGGAA